GGCGATAAGCACGTCATGAAATCCAGTCTTTGAGACGTTATGCATTGCTATAACGCTTCTGTAAATTATACCACGGAATGCCTAGAATCAGCGACAAAACAATCGAATTTTTTGCCTTCGTTCTGGACAACTCAGTGCCTTCCTCATAAGTGAGCACGGAAGAGACACGAATGACACCACACATATTGCCTCAAATTGATATTATCCATTCGACAGAACGAAGTGCGAAAATTTGAATCCGATTAATTCGCAAACCAGTTTGAATCTTCCAATGACGTAAATACTACGCATTTAAATCAGCAGGTCATATCAGCGCTACAGTATTTTTGATTTGAGTTTTTTATAAGTAATTTCTTTGAAGGACTTTCATTTCTTACCGTATTTTCCGAAATACCTGGATGTCTATTTCCATCACCCAAAGCCTGCATTATACAGGAGATTACTGTATCATTACTTTATCTGAGATTATGTACTACAGTTCTGTTTGACAAAAGGCTGTGATTCAATCGCTGATTCTGAATTATGCCGGTGTAGTGGGAGAGCAATATTATGGCAATTTACAAGTTCATTTTCATGTATGCAAAAAAATATTGGCTCTTTAGGAAATTTCCTTCTTGGCAGTTGAACAGCCACTACCACTGTTCCAACGTACAGCACCAATTCAATCTTCGAAAACAACATAGAAGTACAGAATTTGCTAAACAATAACTAAGACATCCTTTTATTCGAAATTACACGCGTTTTTGGTGCAGGAGCGAGTGGCTTACAGTATGTGTTCTTCATTGATGCCATCAATTGCCACGGATGATGGCTAGAAGCGCGTCCTTATATTTTCCGGATGTCTCACTCTAAATTTAAGTGAAACATGGCACCGATAAAACGTTCAACAAGAATGGCTCAGTGATGGATCTCACCAGCCGCTCAGACAGCAACAAAAATTAAAACGTATACGTACCTTGACGAAATCCTCTAGCGATTTTTTGTAGATGCTGTAGAACTCCTGCTTCACAAGATTGAGGTCTATTTCTGATCGACTCACGATAATTCTAATCAGTGTGTTATCGTCGGTACCGAGACCTTTCATCGCGTTGTACAGCATCTCCGCAAAATAGGCCGGTCGATTGCGCATGCACTTAACTATAAGAACATGCAAATAAATATATGAATGGATAATATTTCACATTTACTGCTTCAACGGTGACTACCAAGGTTCAAAAGCTAAACTTTGATGTAAAGAAAGAAACTTTGGAAAAAACAAAGTTTTGAATACTGTGTTGACTGTTGAGGCATCGTACACCAAAGAAGCTAAAGAAATGTACCCAATGGTCCTCCCTAGCAGCAAGATGAAACAATCATTCCAGCTAACTGTTTGTCACTGAAGCAAGCAGTAACTGCAATCAATATACGGAGCAAACTTATTCAGTAACGAAAGGGTGCAAATATTCATACTTATCCATTCACAACAACGTAAAAATACGTAACGCAATTACTTATGCTCAGGTAGGCAGTTTTGATGTCACTGCTGAACTCTCGTTCGATAGCCACGTTAATGTCATGACCAGAGACCTTGCCGTATTGCGTGAAAACCATGTTCAGCTGAGCAGGACTCTGCGTTGCAATTATCATGTTAAACACTGATTCATCTGTGCCCAGCTTCTTCTCCCCAGCGTCGAACAGTGCCTGCGCATCCGCTTTCGCCTTTTCTACGTTCACGTAGATGCTCTCGTCTCGATTCGCCTAAAGTTCTTCAACAGTGTTATGAAATATTGACCATGGAGCATAAGCTTAAATTGCATCGTCACATATCTAACAATCTGATCTCGTCTCCGTAACATCTTGCCTTACGGTGGATTGAATATATTTCTGATTCAAAGGAAGGAAAGAGTGAGAAGCAAATAATAGAACATAATAAATTAATTGGACATTGGAAGATTGACGTGAGAATGTTATTCTTACCGGCGGTATTGAAGGCTAGAAGTTTGCTAGCAACTTCGTAATAACAGGGTTAGTTTTTGTTAGAATAAGTTAATTTCTGGTTTCAGTGGTGAGGCTTGACAAGAAACTGCTACTGTAATTGATGCAAATAAAACAGACTTACGAAAGAGAGAAAATATTAACGACTGATTATTTCTATATATGACATCATCGACTGCATGTTACAACAATAACAAGTTTTAAAGCAGTGATTTCTACCGTGAGTCTGGTACCGTACTACCTTTGATTTTACTCATTCTCAACCAAACGCACTTAGGGCCTAGCGTTTACCAGCTGTTCAGAGAATAAATGGAGCACTCTTTCAGAATGTTGTCGTCAGAAAGTGATATGGGAAATGATCATGGTCTGCGCGGCAATTCCAGAAATTAGTTTCAAGGCTGTAAAAGTAGCCCGCCCAGCAATCACTGAAAAGGCTGCCTGAACAACTGAAAGGAACACTGGGTTCAGAAACTGAATGAGTGGCATACTGCATGCGAGGAATGAAAAGAACTTTCAGCTCACACTTCATCCTTCTGAATTACTATGAATCCGATGACGGATTTTGACAACTATCGTAGAATCAGGAGCTAAAGAGAGCGGACTCAATGAAACGTGGTCTTGGTTTGTGAAGATACAGCCTTCTAATATGTCTACTTTTCACTGAGAAAAAAATAGTGCTAATGAACAAAAACGGTTCAAAAGCAAATAAGCTGCTCCTAAATTAAAAGGAAAGTTACTCAAACACTGAAGCACAGGCGACTTAACTTACCGTACACAAAGACACAAGGAGATTCTTGAAATCGCCGGATGTCTCTGACCGAACAGCGTGTTCCAACTCTTCTCCATATTCTAAATTACGTTGTTTCAAAAAAGCTAAAATACACAAAACAAAAATTCAAAAAAATTACGAAGCTGATATGCATGAATCAGGTCTCGCAACTCACGGTTTGTACGACTTGTCAAGATTTCGATTAAAACTGCTTCGTCTGTTCCGAGTCCCTAAACAAGTAGAGTACAGGAGCAGAAGCCAACGGATCAAATGGCCTCCAAAGCAAATCAGGCGATTTAGCGAAAACGGAAACGTGAGCCAAAACCTTTTACCAGGTTGTTTAATCCACAGAAAATCAAACATTTCATTACTCGTCTCAAAAATAGTGAGGAAGATGAGAATTCCACATAACACTATGGAGTAGAAGATTTGGATCTCACACACATTCTAAGGGATAGTGAATGTGTGTTTCACAAATCAGCTATGCCCGTCAAAGTTCCGTTATGTTTGTTAATAAGTAATTTCACTCAGCCATTTACCTTCATTGCTTTCTTCAGCTCCACCGCATCGTACTCTGGTGGGGTGTACATCAAGGCGATGATGGTGTTTCCGAAGTCGCCTTTCAGTTCTGATTTCAACTGCTTCAATAAATCCTGCAGACAGATGATTACGATTACTGTATTTAGACGTATGTAATTAGTCTTAATTAATTAAATAATTAATAAAGACAACGGAAAACGGCCTACCTGACCAAACAGTGTCCTAAACTGGCGCCGAATCTCCTGTCGTTGAGCGTTTGACCGTTTGCAGAGTATATTCAGCACTATCTGCTCGTTGCATCCTTAAAGCAGGTGAAATCTCAATGAACATTCGGATGAAACTAGGGGATCTGCTTACCGAGACCTTTCATGGCCTTTTTTAGCTCTGCTGAATCTGCTTGAGGATCGAAATCTGCATATGGCACGATTGTTCCATTGAACTTAAAAGTTCAAAATTAAAATGCAAC